ACCTCATTGAGGGTCACATTGGTGTCTTAGAGATGCATTGTATCTCTAGAGACCGTTGTTTCACCTTTTGCTTCCGCATTTCGGATCCGTTATCGGGTCATCTTTTGGTCATCACTGACACACCGGGTTTACAAAACTTGGGCCGTCACAACAGGACTCTCACTGGACTATGATGAGGGTCTCAACCTGAATAGAAGGCAACATGCAAAACACAGCTGAGTGGGCATGACTACCTAAGCCTAATAGGGTATACCCCAACCAACATAGCCAGCTATGCATCCTACTGCGTATACGCTCCCTAACCGTTGACTATGAGACTCGAGCTTATATCGCGGTACCATAATCATATATATAAATTCCATCCAAATACAATGTTGTGTCGGTCAACTATTCGTCATCTAGACACGACATATAATTAGGATTTAACAGTTTCAATTAAATCCCTATCCTTCCTAACACAAAAATATAGACAACCATCCAATATGTCGTTTAACTATTTTAGTTGATAGGACATGAAACCATGTAGGATTTAACTCTTTTAGTTAATCCATTCCGTATGTATGAATGGGTAGGGATTAACGTTTTGGTCTAATCCGTCCCTCCATATGCCACCATCCCATGCCGGTGCATATAATGCATATGATCTGTAAATGATGCAACACTTTAAACAGTACATCAAATAAAATCCACATCATCCATATAGTTGATAAAAACATAATTTAAACAGTTCATCAACTAAAAATCCATAATAATATCCATGTAATTGACGAAACAATGTTTAATCGTTCATCAATTTAAAATCCAGAATCCATCCATGTAATTGATGAGACAAGATTTAATAGTTCATCAATTCAAAATCTAGTATACATCCGGGTAACTGACAGAATATAATTTACTAATTCTTCAATTAAAATCCAGACCAACATCGATGCAATTGACAAAAAATATATAATTAATTCTTCAATTAAATCCAGGGGAAACATAACAAAATCTAATATGTATAAGACCCTATTATGCATCCCAAAACAACTTTAAAAATCATACTCCAGTCAGCTAAGTTGCTAAAATAAATGTAGGCAACTAAATACTTTACAACCGTCAACCGTGTGCGACATTTGCTTAAAACTTCCACACGGTGAACACCATTAGCATATACAGATAAATTATGCACTGTGGGTTCAATTACAGCATAATATAATGTTTAGGGTCCATGCTACAATCCGTTATATTTTGAAAATAGGATTACACAATTCAGTCCTTCCTATCCGTTAAAGCGTTCATGGTTGCTTATTTTTATACTATTTATTCCATTTGCTCTACGGATCAAATTATGCAATTAGAGAGTTTAAAATCCCTTGAAATTACTTTTAAAATTCTCAGTCTAGTCTTTGAAACAATTCAGAATCCCAAACACGTCCAAAACAGTGCCCAAAACAGTTTCGAAATTCGTCAAAACAAGGGAAAACAAGGGAGCCTGCTCTCTAACCAACAGAGCAAGCTCTAAGCACCATGGAGCCTTCTATTTTAAATCAAAGAGCCTTCTCTTTCAAATCCAGAGCCTTCTCTTTTATCAAAGTGCCTTCTTTTTCAAATCAAGAGCCTTCTCTTTTATCAAAGAGCCTCCTCTTTGCTAAAGGAGCCGCCTTTTTGCCTACTACGCGTCTTCTGCTTCATTTCCGGCAACTGCTGATGATTCTGTTCATCTATGTTAAGGTTTCTAATGGTCTTAACAGTCTAATATATATCCAGTATAATCCCAGCCCCTTGTTTAGAACAGTAGGAATTAATACCACGATTAAAACAATACCAATTTGTTATGCTTTAAAAATAGATGACGAGCTTCCAAACTTGCAAGAATTATTTCAGACAAAATTAAACATACAATAGATAATCAATTTAACATATATTACACATACAAGATTTAATTAATGTCCTATTAAATTCCTATAGATCATCTAGATATGCACAGAGCACAGGCCAATGGGTGAGAGACCGAATAGAACTTGCCTGTGCGGTTTTTAAATCAAAACCTCGTCGCCATCTTCCTAAGTTTTTTCGGCGATCGTGACTGCCATCAAGAACTCCTCTGCTCTGGTTCTGACCCTCGAACAACCCTTAACCTTCCTCCTTGGTCCGACTTATAATCCTTGGCCAAAACCCTAGCTTCTTCTCTCTCAGTTTCTCTCTAAAAACTCTCTGTATCCTCCCGTCCCTTACTACTGCTATAAGGGTTTTTCAAACCCTATTGCAGACCATCGTATATATTTATAGTTTAAACAGAAACCAACCCTAGTCCTAATTGAAAACTAAGTCCGGAAAGAAAAATAAAAAAATATAATACATAATATTACAATGTCGTGATAAATAAATATATATGTAGTTTATAATTATATATATCACCTACTAACCTAAACTACCATTATTAGTATTAATAATAAATAATTATTGATAAAAATAATACCATATCCTTATATACGTATATAACCATATAAATCCATACAACCGTCCATATATGGGTAAATATCCGTACCCATAATCAACTCCATTCAGATAGTCCATGAGACCCCTTTGGGTCGATCCATTACTCCTGTTCCAATCCATCCTTTTAAACTAAAATAAAATACATATTTAATCTAGCAAATAAAACTTACAATTAAATACACACCTCATCAAAATCAATTAACAAATAATTCCACACAACACTTAATTCCATTTCACATAAAACATGAAACCATCTAACCACATAGCCACGTAAGCACCTAAACATAATAAAATTAATAACTAAAACAATAAGATAAATAATAAAATTTCAATTATATTCTTTTTTAAACTAGGGGTATTATAAGAATATCATCCCGTGGTCGTAGAACACACGTGTGCAAGTGTGTGTGTGTGTGTGTCACATTAATAACAAAATAATGATCTCAAAGTTTGTAAAAATGCACAAAAAGAGAACAATAATGAACTAAAGAATGCAAAAATAATCTAAACAGAGTATAGAGGAGAAAAGGAAGAGATCGTGACCCCACTTTCTTTAATGATCATGCTCTATTCTTCGTGGCTTCGATGACCGGTGAATCTCTTTCTCAATGTTTAGAGAGAGATGGAAGAGGTGTATGTGTGAGATTAGAGAAATATTGTGTGTTCTTTGTGTTTGTGTGTGTGAGAGAGAGAGAGTGTGTGTGTGTGTGTGTATATGTGTATGTGTATATATATGGGGAGGGAGAGAGAGAGAGAGAGAGAGAATTCTAGAGAGAGAGAGAGCATCTCTGGGCAAATGTGAATTTTCCTAGAGAATAAGGGGCCATTTTATGGTTGCATGATGTCTTCTATTTATAGAAGGGAGGACGAAGGTGCCATTGTTCGTGGGCTTGACCCACTATTTATTTTTCAAGTCATCATCAGTACCAGGAGTAGACCTTGTTTGTGCAGAGCAGAGACCAGCTATTATCACTCTTCCATTCATCTACGTATGATTATATCTTTATTTTTAGTATTCAGACTTAGACAATTATTATTGTTATTTCAGTTGCGATTTTATTAGGGGTCCACATGCTATAGATTCCCGAGTTGTATTTTGTATAATTATTGATATCAGAGGAATTTATTATTTATTGGAGTTTATTCTGAGGATTTAATTATTAGATTATTAATTTAGTTTTCCTTTCAGCATTTTATATATTCTTTATTTATCCTTTTGTATTATGTGCTTATTTTAAATATTAATTGTTTGATATCCCTTTATTTTGTGCACGGATCTGATCAACCCGTATTCCAAAATTGGGAGGTATCCCACAGCTCAAAAGCCCATCCCAAGAAAAATGATCTATCCGGTCAACATGCTACTAAACCCATGTCAAGGGCCATGTTGACCAGGCCCAAAACAAAGAAAAGCCCATGAAACCGGAGACGTGGGGCTAAGGAATGAATTAAGGTAAGAAGGAAAGTGGATATTAATAGAAAGGGGGTAGAGAGTGGGGGTCTAATTGAAGGATTTTTGCAACTAACTATTTTCCCTCAAAACGTTTCCTATATACAAGACATGCAAAAATAAAATTTTCACTTGAAATGAGCAACTATTTTTTAGGTTCCTATTTTACCCACAATTTCAATTTGTTTTTTTTATTTTTTATTTTATTTTTAATTGGGTTTGAGAGAATTGCACATCAAGAAGGACTTCTCCTATGGATCATTGTTTTCCATTAGATATGGAAATCAAATAAATATTAGTTTATTGGGTCTGTATTAACTTAAAATGTCCATCCTTTTATATATATATATATACATATATATATTATTACATTAGTTTTTTTTAGTTATTGATAGCATTATAGGTAAATTCATTCCTTTACAAAATTATTGAACTATAAAATTTCTCAACTTGTATATATTTTTATTCATGCACCTTATTACAGGTCAATTAGACATTAAAAATAAGAAATCAATAATTAGCTAAATAATGGGGGGAAGAATGATCAGTGAAACACAAATTTATTTTATTATTATGCTATTTAATATAATAAGGACAATTTAGGTAAGTAAAAATATTTATTTCTAACTTAGTTTTCTATTCAAACTATATTCGGCCTTAGGTGTGACAGGCCGCAAACCCATTGTGCCTGCTTTTTGACCACTCAGTCTTTGACTCTTTGGCATATGAAATTAGTCATAGGGCCTGTGTTTTGAGTCCCGTATCATATATAAATTAGAAATTGTAGAGGGATCTTTCTAAATTAATAATCCAAACAAGCCTAAGAAGGTTAACAAGAAAAACAATAGGATTGAAAAGTCCAAAAACTCCCTGATAAACTCCAAGAGATACAACAAAAGCATGGCATACTAGATTCCAACAAAACATACCCAACTTAAAATGGATTTCTTTTAGTGAATCCACTTTACCTTATTTGACTGAATTTGAAGGAGCTGGCCCTTTTGAAAACATAAAAAATTGATGAAATATAAGACAAGGGCAAATTAAGAAGTTGTCATCCAACCAAGGCCTAATAATGAAGAACTATGACATTGTACTCAACAATAGCATCAGCCGTGGTAGTATTAACCCAATATGTCTTTGCAGTGGCAATTCCACGGGCGAGTCGAAAAGCACCTGACCCACCGACGACGGACATCTCCCTGTACAAATTCAGTGCCGGATTCCGGCCTAGAACCGCGAGAGTGCTACCATTGTATTTTCCATCTGTGAAATGAAAATTCAAGGTCATAAGCAGACCTAACTCCTTCAATCCAGCTGAGGCATAGATTCCCTGGGCTCGACCAATGATCTTGGAAGTGGGCTCGGGCCCTGCCGTTAGTGGGTCATCCATCATCACAACCATGCCGAAAAAGGTGGGGGATTTATCAGTGAAGTTGGACTGGGCCACCCGCGTTGCAGTTGGGTTCTTGCCACTTACTATGTCATGGAAATAGAAGTGAAGCTTTGTTACCTTTTCCTTCTTGAGACTCAGCTTTTGGAACCACTCTTCAACTGCTTTGGGCTCTTGAGCAATTCCATACACCATAGGCATCACCATGACCGCTAAGCAGAGCATTAGGTCTATAGATAGCTTCCTCATCTTCTCTCTCTCTCTCTCTCTCTCTGTGTCACTGTGTGTGTCTGTGAGTGTAATTAGGGTAGACTGGATATGCTTATATACATGTATTTATATATACAAATTGCACATTTAAGTACAGCAGTCAACCTACCACGTTTTAGCCTTTTCTTCTTAAATTATAAGTTAATTTTAGGGATTTGCATAATTGAAGGTTTTGGGCGGCTGTTTAGATGCCTTTTTGACATCATTTGTCATATAATATTATCCTACATATATATAATTTCTACCAAATTCCTACTGGGCAGCTGTTGAGATGCCTTTCAAATCTATATATTATATATAATATTGTCCCTTCCAAATCTATATAATTTCTACTAATTCCTACTGCACTCTAACACCACGCGGGCAGTCGGGCTTGCAACAGAGAACCATATTTACTCGTTTACCTTAACTGCGAAAAATATGTTAACGACCATGACATGAACCAGATTTTTTTTTTGCGTATAGCATAGCCTTGAATTTAGGATTGATTCACTCTCATACCAATAATAATGAATTGGACGGTGGCAAAGCCACATTGGGACCAATGAAGGCAATTGCACCCACTGCGATTTATGTTATTTGAATTTCAAAAACCTCCCATTGTTTGCTATTGAATTTCTATTATTTTCATTTTCTACACACAAATTATGATAACGATAATTATATAATTGCCTTGATTAAATTCCTACAAAATTCACAAAAGACCTTGAGGAAAACTTTTAAAATTCAAAAAGAACCTCGCTTTTTTTTCTTTTTTTTTTATTTTTTTATTTTTTTATTTTATATATATATATATATATATATATATATGTTTTTTGCTTAACAGTATTGATGAACAAAGAGAAGAAAAAGAGGGGGGTTTGAATTAGTTCTTTAACGTAACTTCTTTCAACACTAGGAGTGTTTTCAGTACACTCTAGTGTTTTCAATACACACACAATGCTCAATCATTCAACCATAAGTACACCTGGATTTTATAAGGAAAATCTCTCTTAATTAGAGATCAAAAACCTTAGTTTTTGGCCACAGCCAATGCAATCTCCACTAGTTATATGCAAGTAGTTACACACTCAGCTGTCTTACTCTCTGCACACACCCTTGTATAAGATGAAACACTAGTTTTCACAGCTTCTACACACACACTAGCTCTACTTGGTGTTTAACAGCACTCCTCTTGTCCTAAGCAACCCTGCTTGGACCCTACAAGGTCTCACAGCTCACCAATTACATATAAAAGAGCGTATTACAACAATACTCAAACTATTATACAAGATAAGATTGAAAATCCATTTTTAAGTATCAACAGCAGCAACTACACATCATTCTGCAGAATTTGTGAAAGAAGGGCAAAATTGGAATTTTGTATTGTCACAGACCTGAAGATAGTTCCCTCAACATTGTATCACCATTGTACACTTGCTCAAATGATATTTTCAATGGTTCAAGCGAGATGTATCACAATCGTAACTCAATAAGGCTTTTCACTTGTGAAACCCTAGCATTTGAGCGTTTACAAGACAAAAAACTGTTATAGTCACTTTTCTGGCCAAAACTCAAGTTGCATAACCTCAAATCACATATATAAGCATGTAATAGGTACTATCGTACTTTAGTACACAAATACTACATCACTCATAAAGTTGTCACTCCCTATTATCCCCAAACAAATGGCTAAGTTGAAATATCCAATCGTGAAATTAAGAGAATTCTTGAAAAAACGGTTAAGCCAGATCGTAAGGATTGGTCATTCAGACTAAATGATATATTGTGAGCTTACCGAACAACTTTTAAAACTCCGATTGGTATGTCACCTTACCGTCTCGTTTATGGTAAAGGGTGTCATCTTCCTGTAGAGTTAGAGCATAGAGCTCTTTGGGCATAAAAAAACTCAATTTTGATATGAACTCTACTGGCTCTAATAGGAAGCTTCAACTATCTGAGCTTGAAGAATTGCTTAATGATGCTTATGAGAGTGCTAAGATTTATAAATCAAAGACTAAGGCATTTTATTACAAGTATATCTTGCGTAAGACTTTTTAACCCGGGCAGAAGGTTTGGTTGTTTAATACACGACTGAAACTTTTTCCTATAAAGCTTAAGTCACGTTGGGAGGGTCCATACGTGATTATTTCTTTTACGCCCGATGATGCAATAGAAATACAAGATTGCACGACTGGACAAGTGTCCAAAGTCAATGGACAAAGATTAAAACCTTACATTGAGGGTAGTGTGTAGTGAGGCACAGTGGAGGCAGTAGAACTTCATAATCCTATTTACTTGGACTAGAGAGGTCACTTATCGTCGAGCTAACGACGTTAAACTTAGCACTGCTGTCGAGCTAACGACGTTAAACTTTGCACTGTTATAGAGCAAGCAATGTTAAACTTAGCACTACTGTCGAGCTATCAACGTTAAACTTATCATTTGTATGTTATACTTTAGTTTATTTTACGTTTTTTTTTTTTATTTTGTTTTTGTTTTTGTTTTTAATTTATAGATTTTATTTTAATTTTTAGATTAGTTTAGACTTAGATTAATTTAAGAAAAGTAAATATTAAAAAATACAAAAAAATATTCTTCAGAGCTCGAGCTTGCAGTCTAAAGCACGAGCCTTAGCTATCCAAAGCTCAAGCTTGAGCCATACTTGTAATGTCCCGGTCTTTTTCCTCATTTTCCTTTTTTTTTTCGATGATTTTCTTTTTTCGTCTTTTTCCTATTTTGTCTTTTCCCTATTTCGTCTTTTTCCCGTTATCATTTTTCCTTACATATCCTCACTGGTTGTGCTCGGATTTGATTCCGGTTTTGCATGCATCTATGATATTTGATTTCCATGACATTTGTATTTTTATTTTTGTAGAAATACATTCCAGTTACTTACTTTTTCGTAAATGGCATGAATCCATACTTAATTGTAATTATTCTTGATTTTTGGGGTTTTAGTGTAATTATATAAAATAATTATTTTACGCCTTGGGGACCTTTTTGCAATTAAATTTAGAAGATATTTTGAAAAAGGACTTTTTTGTAATTTTTGAAAAATGTGACAAGTGTCACATTCTCATGGTGCCACTTATTGGCATTGGGGTGGAGTGACTTGGAAACATAATCTGTTGACATTTGGAGAATGGAGATTCACCCATTTGTTGGCCTAGGATTGGAGCACTTATTGGCTTAGATGGTTGACAAGTGTAGCCTTAGGATTAAGCCTAGGAAGGAGCCTTAAATTTGTGACAAGTGTACGCACCAAAATAAGTCTTGCATTGTGTGTGTGTGAGAGGTAGTGTAAGAAGACATAGTGAGTGAAAGATTTCTAGACCTTCCACTAACCATTTTCACTTGATCCTTTTCATTTTCACTTGTTCAGCAAGAGCCCTAACCTAGCCACCATTGGAGAAAAGCTTGGTTAATAGCTTTCTTTTTCGTTTTGGCCTCCTTCCATTCACCTTAGACTTAAAACCTTGGGAGACAAAAGTTTCCTTTCACTGTCCTCTTCATTAACCCTAAACTTGTTTTCCATTTTGAGCTTGGTTGCTTGGATTATAGAGATTCAATTCTCTATTGAGGTAGGGGTGATAGTATGTTTATATTTTAATTGTTTTATAATCCTTTGGGGTTTAATATATATTTTGTACATGCTTTTAATATGATAGTCTTGCATATTATAGGAAACCCTTATTAGTGACTTAGGGTTTATTAATTTTAAGCATGTATATTGTGTATGTATCTTGTGTAGGATTATTAATATTATATAGAACTCATATTGATTTGAATTACTATACTATTTTGATGATAATTCTACATTCTAGTTGATTACTATAAGTAATTGTAATTATTTTAGAAGCTTAATACAATAATGTTGTAATCTAGTATATGAAGCTTATTGTTGAGGCATGATTTAAATTGATAAGTTAGTGGTATTATATTGCACATTATATCATGTTAAGAACTTGTCATTTATTATACCATTATAGACTTGGAACCCTAAAACATGGTTTCTGTGGTTTGAAAATGCTTGTGCATGGAAGGTGGTAAATATGCCTTAATATTGTGTATAAGTTTTGAACTTAATATAATTTAGATTATCTTAGGACATAGTTACAAGTGATATGGCTAGCGTTTGGATCTAATGCGGGAGGTATGAGTTCTCCCCAATTGAGATAGTGCACACTAGGGTGGTCTTCCCAGCGGGTTAATGCCCAGAATAACCATTGAGGTCTCGGCAGAATTCCGAGCTTAGATGTCCTAGGATTCCACTTCTTGATTTCGTATTCAATTCCAAGTTAACAATCAATGTTTAAATTGTAACTTGTAATTTTTGTTTCATGCAATTTGATGTTGTTAAGTACATCCATATTGATATTGTGTTGCTAAGAAATATTTAAGTTAGCTTAAGATGATCCCTTAGAACACTTGAACATCGACGTTAAGTGGAATGCTCCCTTGTATTCGTCTATGTTGATCTTGCAATGATATTGAAACTTTAGGGTATACGCATATGCTTCTTACTACGAGTAACTTGATTACTCACCCTAGTGGTTTGGGTTGTTTTACAGGTAAGGAGATAATGTTTTTTTGATGCTCATCATATCCTTAGAGGCTCATGAACCATTTCAAGCATTTTTGTATATGAACATGCACTTGTTTAGCATGCTTTAGTTTTGATGTCATATTTTGTGTACCATAGGTGTATGGTATTTTAGAAGCTAATGTAGCTACTTTGATATGTAATGATACTTAAGAATTTATTTTTGACATTATAAGCACGTAAGCAATGAGGCCAAGGGCCAAGCTTGTTTATTTTAGTACTTGTGTTCATTGGTACCAACTTTAGCTACAAAAATGTATTTTAACTAACTTTGGGGATTTGACATGTGAAATTCTTGTGATGGACATGTATAAGGCCATGAGTTGTTGTAATACATTCATTTATTCATTTCAAGGTTGTTGACATGTTCACATAATCAAATCACATTGAAAAT